TTTCGTTTTTAAACTGTGTGTCTCGTGCTCGGGAAATATTTTCCGAACATTTATTTATTAGTTAAAAAAAGTTCTTTAATGGCGAGTTTCAATCGAAATCAAAAGTCAACGAAGTTGTATGTTTGCATACTGTACACTATTGAGTTAACCCAAAAAGTATCTTTGTGTTGCATCTTTTTCTAACAGAAATGAGAAGAGCGTGTATCTTGAAATATAATTTTTAATTATAATAATTTAATATAATCCCCAACTGATAACTTAATTTTAAACCGCAAATTCATTCCGCGATCGATTGTTTTAGAAAAGGAAAATACACGATCCCGTTGACGATTGCTTCTCGTCACATTTTACTGTACTATCTTCGATAAGCTGACAAAAAATTATCTGACGTGCATGGCAAAGAAGCCATGCCTTCAAACCACGGCAGTGTCAGAATTTGGTTACGCAAAATTTCACTACTAACAAGGATATCAAATCTTTACAATTCTTGGAACTGTTTCTTGTCGAAAAAGATAAGACCGCGGTATCGCGAAGTTGCCCGAAAGATGGCAAAAGATAATCAAACGAATTGGTCAATACATTAATAAAGTTTTTATTTCTCATGAAAAGTTCGGCCTTTCATTAACACTGGAAAAAAAAACGCTGTTACTTCTTGGCCCACCTAATATATACAGACTATAGACCAACAGTGCCCGCTTAAGCGTCCGCCGCTATCCCCACCAATTCTTAAAATTGGACTATCTCACTCTACGCTACCTTAACGTGCGACGTATTGAAGGTCGTGTGAAATTTAACACTCGACAATAGAAAGCGATTGGCATCTGATATTTTGGCATAATTCGCAGAATACACCTCCCCACTTAAGCGTTCTCTCTCTCGGTCTCGACTGCTTAAGTGGGCACCACTGTACCAATCTTGACGTCTGACAGAGTTCCGACATTTCTACTGTGCATGTAGCGCGTTAGCTGACGCATCACGGCTAACTCCACTATTGTAATGGAGGGGAATCCGATGGTAACGGACGTCTGTTTATCGTGACCGTGTTACATGCATATTATGTCACGCGTATAACATTTGCGGAAGTTGTGCGAATGTATGAACCTGCCAAGCTTCGTTTATTCGCGTCAATCGTCTCGTTGAGTATCTCTACCAGAAGAGGAAGACTACGTAAACTCAAAAACAAATAATTTGACAAATTCTGTCGATTGCAGTTCGATCAGCAATCGATCTTTTTTTTTTTTAATTAGATTAAAATAATAAATTAATAAAAATTAATAAAATTAATAAAAATTAAATTAAAAAATAAAATAATAAAAATTATACACAAGTTTAGATATTTATTTAGAAATATTTATTAGAAGACATTTATTTAGATATAGATATTATTTAGATATTAGGAATAAATGCGAACAAAAATCGCAAAGTGTAATCCGGAAAAAAAAAATATAAAACGCTAAATTTGTATTTTCGTCCAACTTCGTTAACTGTAAATTAATTCCAGGTCGACTCACGTAACTATTCCATTCCCCGTCATGCCCAAATATAGAAGTATTACATAATTCTTGGCGGTTATGATACCTGTTTGTCGGAGTAAGTAAAGTTTCGCGAACGGGCCCTTTGTTCCAATTTCCCTTTCTGAAACTGACCTCGATTGATCGATCGATCACCGGCATCGAGGCTCGTGCAACGTGTAAATCGTCACGGCGCGCATCTCTTCAACGACACAGGTCTTCAGCGCGATAAGAAACCAACAACATCAGCAGTATCTAACGACACGTCCACGAAGCGATCGAGCTTCCCCGGCTTCGAAATTACCAACTTAGATATATATAGGAATTATTACTCTCACAGGCAACATTTTGCAATTTGCATTCCCCTGTTTGTGCTCGCGTTTACGACAGAAACGAAGTTTGAATAATAAAGAGTAAGAGGAACTGTATTTTGAGAAACTCGAGATAATCGATTTTTCTCTTCGATGGGGAAGAGAAGGATCGCGAGCCGTGAAACAATTGCAAATCCCTGCACGCAGTCGGCAATTGTTGCAAATCCCTTCGCGAAGTCAGTGTTCCGTCGATAAAAAAGAACGCGGCGATCTACGCGCACCGGCGATGACGCTTGTTTTTCGATGTTTTCTCATTTGACGTTAAGTGTTTCCAATCGAGCAGAGCATTTTGCATTCAGTAATGGCTGCGTGTTACATGTGCTCGTGAAGCAAAAATGAAACACGCGCAAATATATAAATAGCCGTGTCGCGCGTGTGTATATGCATGTACGTGCATACGTGTGCATGTGTGTATAAACGGCCTTTGATAAATCGATGGTAACGAAGAATCCCGTCGGATAACGGAGAAGCTTCGTGTGCCTGAAGTTTATCTAAATCTAATTACAAGATAATTACTGCTCGTCGACTAAAAAAAAAAAA